ATCATTACGACTATATATATATATATAATGACGCTCGGTGGTTGAGCGGTAGCGCTTCACGCTGTCGTATCACAAGTCCCTGGTTCGATCCTCGGGCCGGGCAAGGTTGACTCAACCTTTCATCCCTTCAGTGGGTCGACAAATTAGTACCAAGCATGCTTGGGAACTAAACACTGGGGGTTCCACGTTCGGCTGACCACCTGACCGGAACATCTGCCCCTGCATCCCAGAGCCCAAGGTCAAGAAAACTGAGCTGGGCTCAGTAGGCCTTGCCCTCTATGGGCTGTCGCGCCACTGAGTTTAGTTTAATATATATATAAATATTTTCTCTTTGTTACCCAATGTACAGATTGGCTATTGTGTAAAAATAAACAAAAATTGACCAATTGCAAGATATTCGATATGTAAAAGTTATTATTACTTATAATAACAATAATTATAAATTATAATAACTTTTTTTGTGACTTTGAATATTTTTTTTATACTAGATGACTTTAAATATTTGCTAAACTCATAAAAAAACTGAGCCGCTTTTCTTCTCTTCAGTCATAGGGATACAATTAGCTTTCGCTAAACTGAATTAAATACAGCAACAAAAAGATTTAGTTACTACGAAAGTAATTCAAAATTTAATGAAGTGAAATGCAATGCTCTTCTTCAGACAAATCAAATTCTTATGTTCTTTTTTATTTGATGATATTGAGGAGTTCAAATTCTTGTTATCACATTTTGACAAGTTCGATGCGTTATGGTTTTATCACAACTTAACGTCCTTGGATGAAAGTTTTTTTGAGTTGTTTAACCTTTTTTGCGGCTCTTTCTACATGGTTTTTCGTATTTAGTTTTAACGTATTAAATCCGATATTTTTAATACGTTATTACGACACGTGAATTTCAAATTTGTATCGAAGCGTTTGACTGGCAACGTCTCCGTTGTAAATCTCTATTGTTTCCTAATCATTTTTTAGCCATTGCCACTTGTTTTTTTTCCAAACTTTTTTTATTTGTTCTAATAGTGTTTATATGGTTTTATTACGACAAGCGTGTATTTCAAATTTATAGAATCACTTTTTAACAAGCTCAATTCGCTACGATTCTACTTTAAATCAACGTCGCTTATAGATAGTTTTTTTGGCAGTTACTGATTATTTCTTGATTATTTACGTCTGTTTTTTTTTTAAACTAAGATATTTTTAGTATAATGTTCCGGCTAACGTATTTCGTATTTTAGTAACCACTTTCTTACGCGCTTCACTCAAGATGATTGCTTTTTTAATCTATTTTCGATCACTGTTTCAACAGTTACTTTTTGTTTTTCCGGATCATTACGACATCATTTTTATACTCCCGATATTTTTAATATTAAGACACGTATGATTTAAAAATGTGAGAATACCGCTCACTTCAAAGTCGATTTATTGAATGCGTGAGTTTAACTGAGGAATTATTTTTAAGTTTGACTATTGATCTTTGAGAAAAAAAAGAGAATTTTTAGGGATAAAATTGTGAACTTTGCATATTTTAGATTTCTCAAAACCTATGTAAATTTCTGTAAAATGCAGTTGTTGTTGTTGTTCAAATACGTCGCACTAGAGCTGCACAATGGGCTATTGGCGACGGTCTGGGAAACACCCCTGAGGATGATCCGAAGACATGCCATCACAATTTTGATCCTCTGCAGAGGGGATGGCACCCCGCTTCGGTAGCCCGACGACCTGCACGCGAAGTCGAGCACTTTACGGTAGAATAGTTTAACGAGGACCAATATCGCACACCCTCGGTCCCTAAGCATGCTGATCCAAGTGGTCATCCACCCGCACACTGACCGTAGCCAGTGATGCTTGACTTCGGTGATCTGCTGGGAACCGTGTCTTAACAATCAGTCCACTGCTGAACTCGTAAACTGCAATGCCCTTTTTTGAGATGCGCACCTTTTTTAGAGAAGATATTGATTTCTTTTTCATTTTTATCACCCTGACCTTTTTAGGGTCTAGAATGAACTCTAAAATCTTTTTTACTAATAGTTACAAAAAAGGATAAATATTGAGATTAATAATATATTTTTAAAATTTCGCTTAATTGAATCACTAAGAAAATATACTTAGATGCCTGAAACCAGACTGTTACAATCTTCTTTCTAACCCTGGTGTTAAATTACTTCATAGACCAGGTTAACTTGAACAACCAAGTTTCTTTTATTTATTTTGTCTTTTCGGTTCTTTTAGTTTTTATTTGCCAACATACGTACTTAAGAAAA